TATATATATATATATATATATATATATATATATATATATATATAATATTTATTTATCTACTTATTCATTTATTTATTTATATATACACATGCTCACATCTAAATATTCATCATTAATTCGTTCATTTGACTCCAACGCTGATTCCTGCTCAGGTTCCTGAAAAACAAATTACAGAGATAAATAGAAACTTCCGTTCTCTATAGAAAAGTACTCACAGGAACCAGTTTCAACCTCATAATTATGCAGAATGTTTAGATTCAAGAAATTTGCACTGAACTGTCTACAGTTAGTTAACCATATTATTCAATGTTGTATCCAATATTATTATTCAATATTCAATATTATTCAGTATTTATTCAATCTTCGTAAGATTAATATTCAAAAAAGGCTAATGTTTTCATCGAATGTCACTTACCACACGAGAACTGACCACTTGTATGATCTCAGCGCACCTGAAAAGAAAAACAAGTAATTTATTGGAAGTATATAAATACACACTCGAAGAGTAGATCCAATTTCATTAATTTGTAATGAATTCAAGAAGAAAATAAGAAAGATTTTTTTGCACCTCGACAAATGATAGATGAAAAGCTGTGAATTAAGTCAAGTTGAATAGTAACTAGTAACCAATTTTTAATAGTTGGATGTTGAGGTGAATTCAAAATCTGACGTAACACATCAGCACATTCTCTTACTGTGGCAACAATATTCGCATTTTGTTTCGAGTAAACGTTCAACAGATTCACAATCAATTGGCGAACGCACTGGAAATCTGGATTCATTTCGAATGTGTTCGGTATCGGATGAACGAGACTCTAAAAGCAACAACATTCGAGCATTTCTCCACGATATTCGGATGGTTACCCGACGCACTGGTGAATACTTCACCACCAACAACAATTATATTAATAGCAACAACTAGAAATCAGATACCTCTCGGTCCGGCACCCTTAAGCTACCGCCGGAACTCCTTGAAATTCCCCGTTTAAGCAGTGGAATACATGTACCGATCGTAGAGGCGCGTTTCCTGAGCACAAGACTTAGCAGGAATGTGCCCGAGCTGTCTGATGCTATACTAGTGCCAACCGAAAATGTTGACAGCCGGAAAGCACCACTCGATGAAAGTTGACTCACTGCGGACGAATCACGTGAACTCCAACAACCAACTGAGCTTTCTGAGATGGCAAAAATTCAACAATTCTTTTAAAAAATGAAACCATGCTAGTTTTGCTTACAGAAATCTGCAGATTAGCGAGAATGATGAAAATTTCATGAGAAATAAATCTGAATCTCTTTAAGCTGCAATATTTTAAGCTCTCTGGTAGAGTTGATCATGATCATGTCAAAAAGAAACCTTCAGAAGACTTTCGTGATGGTAGCTGCTGTTGCTGTTGTATGAGATTTGTTGTTGACAATAGCAAAGGTGTGATGATATCCGAGCAGCTCTCATCTAGCATCGCATTGCTATTCGTGGAATTATCAATGGCGCTCAGATTAGATGAATTGTTGACGAAATAATCGAAGTGGAACTGTGATAACGCCGACGGTCGGCGAATTTCGATCAATGGTAAGCCTGGAATGGCTTGCGGTGAGGATGGTCGTCGATCGGCCGTTAAATATGCCATATCAGCGATCATATGCGAACACAAACTGTTATCTCCTCCTGTTGCACTTTCTGAACCGAAGACATTTGGTGGTGGAGATGAAGAAGAATCGATTTTAAATGCAGGTAAATGATCGCTTGCAGATGAAGAGTCATTGTTGGCTGACGATAAGAATTGTTGTTGCTTTTGATTATCCTTATCCATGAGAGTGACTGAATCACGATGATCATTCTGTTGTTGCATATCATCACGATGCTGTTTCCGACTTGCTTGACGTAACGCTTCACGTCGTGCCAACGGATAATTCTGCAATTTACGTGTAAACTCCAATACTGCGTCTGATCCGCTCGTGTTACTGTCTGGTGAAGAATCCCCTGAAAATGAACAACTGAAATCAATCAATCAATCTTCACAACTTACTCATGAAATTACAAAATTCGTCTTCATCCAGAAAACACCTAGTCAACCACTCAATCATATTATGTTGACCTGCTGTTTAGACAATGATTCGTTATCAGCAGTATGATTAATTCAGCGATTTACCGTACATTCCATTGTTTATAACTGTTGCGGAAAAGCACCGCGAAAAGCCGTCAATAAAACAAATTACGCAATCGGATAAAAAAATTAAAAGAAACGCCGAAAAAAGGGTGGCAAAACAACAGATGGAATGGTGGCGTGAATGTTTGAATTAGTGGTTCGTACGCTCGGGTGCTTTATTCATTACCTCTTTTGATGACCTGGTGGGCCGCCGTTACCTCCCCTTCCTCCCTCCCCCCACTCCACCTCTTCATATGTGAACTCTATATTTTACCTAGAACGTCAGGAACAAATGGAAAAACAGTCCGGAAATTCTTCAGTGGCGTGAAAGAAATTAATTTTCTGGAATGAAACAAGTATTTTAAATACTTTATTTATCCATTGCAGAAACTATATGAACCTCGGCAATCCAAGACGAAAAGCAATGAAAAAAATATTCTTCAGCGAAAAAAAAATGAAATTTAACAACAAGTTCAGTTATTCGTGAAGAAGGAAGATGCAATGGACATTTGAGAAATTATCTTCGAGATGAACAGAAAAGCAATTAAATAATGCCCATCAAAGTGATGCTTAATGAATAAGTAACAATTCATCGGAGGGATGAAAATAAAACTATTGAGCGTTTTGAGATGCGACTGGTGCATTAAGTCTGATATTACCCTTCTACTTTTCAAGCATTTCAGTCATTAACATCATATGAAATGTCGTCGTTCATCAAGGAAGAAATGTTATGCCGGTTGAAAAAACATTCATAAGCGATTGAAGAATCATAAATTGTAAAAACTGAAAAAAAATTGATATCATCAAATTCAGATGTATCCGATCGTCCAATACCAAACCATTGATCTCTTCTGTCATACCAAAGAGCTAAGTCAATTCTTATCTCTCATGAGAGACGATGTCAGCCAATACATTAAAGCACTTACGAGATATTTGTGACATTTTCGAACTGACTTTTGTTCAGGCCTAAACGAAACGAACAAAAACACTCAGAAAACAGGATGAAGATTAGTATTTCCATGAGCGAGCCGCGTTAAGATATCCGCGTGAAAAATACGCCATGAGAATGGCGTTTCATCACAGCAAAACAACACCAAATATTAGTTTCTCTCAATCAATCCCCAATGTTGATGAGAGACGATGTCAGCCGATATATTCAAGAAATTACGGAACATTTGTGACTGAACAGACTATTGTTTAGGCCCGGATGAGCTAATGATACTCAGGAAATAGGAGAAAGAAGAGTGTTGTCATGAACTAATCGTATTTACATACCCAAGTGAAAAAATACCATCACAATGGCGTCCCATCACAACATAACAACTGCACGAAAAAGTAATTTCCCGACCCCCTCCGTTACCTCCCACGAGAACCCCAAATTTGATTTTGGTGGCCCTAAAGAGGGCCATTGGGTCTAAGTTGTGCTGTTCTAGCCCCACATTATTTGGGGTACATTTCCGCTATCTGCTTCCACAACTTAAATAAACTGTCTCCATCTTCCTTTTTCCAAATGAACTGTTTTACATACGTGAACAATAAGTTGTGTTTGGATTTGAACTTTTGCCACATCGACTCCACTGTATTAGTGTAAGTCCCGGTATCCGAATCTACAGAAGTTTTCGAATGATTTACAGTTTCGTGCTGAAAATTTGGTGGCATATTTTTCATATTGGCATACGCTGGCCATAGATCGGTAGTGCACGATCAGCAATACTAGACAGAGAAATATCTACGTTTTTTCTACCATAAAACACCGATGCTGTTCCGTTACTCTCCCAGTATTATATTTCCGTCGGTTTAGTACTGTCTCATCTATTTCATCTACACATCCAGGCCCCGAATGCGTAGTGGATGGTCAATGTAATATTTCATTGCAATTTTATGGAAGAAACTCATCCAATCGACCAATGTGCCCAATCCCAAGGTGCTCCCTTCCTTTCTCCTTTTGTCACGTTGAACATCGGAATAAGTTTACCGTTGTATGCACCAGTGAAATGATAAGCGAATTCTGACCTCACAAAGCTCATTCATACTATCACAAAAGGAACTGGTTTTCCATGCATTTTGCATATAGTATTTACACAAAGTAGTGAGTAGTGAAAGGAATGGTCTCATTGCTGCAATGCTAAGGCTAAGCTTGTATATTTAGAAGCACGAAAACAAATTCCGAGATCAGAATTGTCACGCATGACCTCTCTAAGCATTAGGATAGCGATAATCATCGAAATTCAGGAGAATGAAGCATTGCGATCATTTGTAATCGTTAGCGGGTTCTTTGTGATCACTGACAATTCCACTGCATTATATGGTGTTTGCATCTTCGCGAATTTGCCATACTCTCTTCCTCTCCATCCTCTTTTTTGGGAAAACCTCTCAACTTTTAGACGAATAGGAGGAATGATAAACGCTATGTTCGTAATGGGAGCAGAGAGGAAAGTAATGAAAGACATCCTTCCCCTTCAGAAAGGGAAAAATTTGGTTCATTTTCAGCGTTGTGGCAGCTAGACTAGAAGAGTGCCGCTAAGTGAATGTTGTGCGGCCGCGGATATGCAAGGGAATGAATGTTGACATTCAATAGATGAGTGTTCAGAGATAAAAGGAATAAACTGAACAATTGTTTGATTTCTGAAGAATGCCACGTTGTGATAATAACAGTCGTATCTTATGTGATGTTATAGCTTGAACGAATTTGCATGTGACATATTCAAGTAATGAAGGATGATTTACTGTGAGCTGAAAGATACTAATGAGAACAAAAATGATGTCACTGGTATGATTGATCGGATTACTATTACAATGAATGACGTTTGAGGATGACTACACTCTGTTCATTTTTGTGAGACTGTTTTCGTACGCATGTATATGGTTTACGTAAAAATATGTTTATGTTTTGATGTTTACATTTAAGATAGAGAGTTGTTTTTAGCAGTCGGCTAAGTGGTGTTTTTGATAGGAAGAATCAGGGTGACGGCAATACGATAATCGTAACAGTTATATGATGCTACTATACTGCTACTGCTACCACTACTACTGCTACGAATAATACAGAAGTAGCTATAAGTGTTGAATTTGCTTGCTATTTCGTTGATAATTTAATAGTGGTTATTGTTATATTTGTTTTTGTTGTTGTCCATGACTGAATATTTTTTGATGGCTAGTGAACGAAGAACGAAAGAATAAATTAATGAATTCAGTGTTGTTATTGTTGTGTGTTAAATGCTACTAGCAGACTGATGTTGTTGTTATTTTGTTATCAGTGCGAATCAGCTAGCAATAGTGACGAACATTCCATTGTTCGGGATGATGATAATGTGTTGTTGTGAATTAAGCAGTCTATTGATCTTATCAAACTGAATCTGTTGCAGTTCATTTCTTCACAGAATATATTCATTTTTCTATGCCAAAATGCGATATCATTAGATTCTTTTCGGCAACAATTGTACATAGATTGCACAATGCAATAAAATTGATTGCTCATGGTTATTGATAATCGAAAAATGCTTTTGGTCACCTCAGATTTGATCAGTTCTTTTACGCTAACATAGAATTGATATAAGAATCAATCGAGAGGTGACATGGTTTGAATTGATCAGATCAGTGTCAGTTTGCCTTTTTGGGCTACTCCTTGATGATTTATCTATAACTGTTTGTTGTTGGCTTGGCTCTTCCAATGATTAAATGTGTTCGGTGCTATGAAAGAACGAACTGGCATGTTAGTCGTTTGAGAATATCAATAGCGATATTTGTAGTAATAATAATGTTAGTAATAATAATAATTTGTAATGTTAATTTGTAACCATAGTTCTAGTAATAATGTTCATCATAATACTAATAATTGTAATGAAAGTTTAGCAAATAACAAAACTATTCTCAATAATAGTAGTAATAACCGATGAATGAAAAGCGGTAGAATGAATTAATAAAATAGATGCATATGGATGGCTGCTCTACGAACATATCGTTTGTCTGCAAAAGTCTCTGGTATTATAATTTTTAAATATATATATATATAT